AAAGCATTTTTAGGGAGTTTTTGGGAGAGCCTGATAATAATGAATTACAATGACTGAGCCTAATAATGCCAAATAATGACTTCTTCATGGCAAAACCTCCATCTGTCTGTAAATTAAATTTGTAATGTAATTTAATGTTAGGGCAAGTTGTTGGCTAATACTCGGGGATGTTACAGCATTTTAGATTGAACTATTTACAGACTTTTACAGAGATCTATAAAAGGAGTTTCAGGTATTTTTATTTTTTCAGTGTTACAAAGTCTCTGTGGAAACCTTTGCTACTGGCTCAGACAGGCAATTGTCCAAAAATGAAAAAATGTCTTTTGATCTGTGCGCTGTTTGTAAGCGCATTAAACATTCTGCCTTGCTTTATTGTTGTTTGCCAGTTCTGAGGAATGGGCAAAGGTTGGTGACACAGAGAGGCATAAGCTTGGCATCACAGTGGAAGATGATGGAGAGTTCTGGTAAGTGATGAATTTCCTCAATCACAGCACTATTTCAGGACAGTTTATCCCACTTTTCCAGATTTTAATAATAGATTCTGTTCAAATCTTCAGGATGTCATTTACAGACTGGTGCAAGTTCTTCACTGATGCAGACGTGTGCCGTGTCATAAATACTTCATTGATTAGCGTCCATAAGACTTGGAATGAGTACGTGCACTTTGGCAGCTGGTCCAAAAATGCTGACCCACTTCTAAACCGCTGTGGGGGCTGTGCTAACCACAAACGGACATTCCTGCAGAACCCACAGGTACAGCAGGCTCTGGATGACCTCTCTCCTTACATCGCCTCTGTTCATGTATGTGTACACATCTGTGATGACTCCATTTCAACTTCTTTTGCAGTATTTATTTGATGTGACAAAGGAGACTGATGAGGTCCTCATCTCGTTGCAACAGAGAGACATGAAAATCCACAGACCTCAAGGTCACGGAGAAAACCTTACCATTGGCTTTGGCATCTTTAAGGTATCACAGTGTCATGTAACCCTTCCATATGTGGGAAAGACTGTGTTTGTGGGAGATGTGAAATGCTTAAAATATAGCCAAACATGTCATACTCATTTGTCAGAATAATGTCTGCTGTGTGTGCTGAGTTTGAGGGGACTTTCTTCACAGCTTCACAGCTATTGTAAATGTTTAAAGTCTAAAGAAAATGTGTCAAATTGTCTCAATATGCAGGACTAGAAATGAGGGATAATAATACGGTGCAGGCCCACATTTAGTGAACGGCTCATTATTCTTGTCTGGAATGAAAACATTAATCAAAGTTCAGTTTATTTTGGTCAAAAGCAAAGCCTTTTCACCCCATCCTGCATCACTTTGGTCAAAAAAATCTGGCTTGAATTGACTTTCTCTTCTCATTTAATGACCAAACAGTGATAAGTTTGTTTTTTCCAACAACTTACACCCCTTGAGTGTTTTATCAGAACCAAAACAGACCATTTCAGCAGCCTGAACCTCAAACGATTAAACACAAAAAGGTACCACATACTTTCTGTGATTGCTTCAGGCTGAAAAGCAGCGTGGAACCGAACACCAAACTCAAATCTTTGTGATGATTTCAGACGGCTCGGATGCCTGTGTTCTTGTGCAGCAGTGTGCAGGGATTATTTAGGACTCACGTATTATGTCTGCTAAATCATAACCAGGCCAAAAAAAAAAAAAAGCTGAAAAGTATGAAATACATGGATACACTGAGTTCTGAAACAGACACAAGATACAATAAGTGCCGATCACTACAACCTGGGGTATGTTTCAGAAGCAGGTTTAAAACTTGATGTTGTCCTGCATGTTGCGATTAGATTGTCACCTTTAAATGAGACCATGAAACCCAGTGTGACAAAACTGACGGCCCATTTCCTGTAATGAGACTTTAGTTGACAGAGACATGGCAAAGTTCAGACACACACTGTGCACTATTATCACGCTGATAGAAGTGCTGCCAAAACCCTGGACAGGAATGTCAGCACCATAAAAAGCTTTTAATTTAAAAAAAAAAAGAAAGAGAACAGAAACAGCCGTGTGCGCGTGGCCCACTGTGGAAGTGAAATGTTAAATCTTTATTTAACCTTTCTCATGTATGTTTATCATACAAGTAATGTGTCCTCTTCCTTTATCGGGCACTTCCTCTAAACCACAGATGTTACGATTAGATTCCTGTCTGCTTTGTTTGTGGTGAAAAAAAAAAATCACATTTAATGCCATTGTATTTTTTTTCAAAAACAAGAAGAAATAAGACGATCAGTCAACACAGTAATGCGCGTGTTAAAATTCAATTATTGTTTCTATTTTGTGCCACCAGGAGGCAGAAAACTCTTTTCCACTTCTCTTTACTACGCCGTTTAAAGGCATCAATTAAAGTTTATGATGAACAAGAAGAACCTTTTATTCGTTGACTCTGGCACGAATTCAAATGTAGCTTAATTAAGTACAAAATTAGCAAAATGCAGTTTAAAAGTCATTTTTCTGCCCAGGTACTTTTTCGGATTGCTGCTATACTGATGCAGCTGACTGCGGTGGAGCGGAAGGTTTTGCTCCTTCATGCAGTAAAAAGTGCAGTTCATTAGAGTTCAAGTCACCTTTAAGTAAGATGGCTATAAATTAAACAGGGAAAAATGAAATTCTGCTACCCAGATTTGTTTGTATAGTAGACGTAATTTATGTAATCTTGTATATTTTTGCTACGTCGTATTATTTTGATCAATTGTTTTTGCAAGCCAATCTTGCAGTCAAGCTCACCCTGTATGTCAAGCTGCATTCATTTTGAGCGTACTATATGCTTCTTAGGTGATATTTTCATGTGTCACTTGTAATCGCATTTCCTTTGAAATTTATTGAAGTAGCTCCAAACTGTGTTGCACAGGATTTTGGTAAATTATGCTCACAAAATATCAAATTCTTTTCCAGGTGGAGCTGAACAGGAAGTACCGTTTACATGACATCCTGACCCAAAAGTGTGTAAATACGTCAACCTACATCAATGCTCGGACAGTGTTCATGAGGATCAGTCTGACTCAGGGCCGATATGTCATCTTCCCCACCACCTTCCAGCCTTTTACGCTGGGCGATTTCATGCTCCGGGTTTTCACTGATGTGGAGTCCGGCTGCAGGTAGGACAGTGCCGTAGATGTGAGGTCAAGCCAACAACAGTGTGTAGCTGAGTTTGTCAGACAAAAATGTAATACCAATAACTCCAAAAAATAACGCACTTATCTGGGAAAGTGACTGATATGGCAGCTGTTTGTACGTTTTTAGTCCAAGAAAACATTCAAATTAGTGTTTTGGGAAATAGGGACCATTTAAATGTGATTTACAGTAACTTCTATTGCTTTTCTTGGCCAAATATTTTATTTTGCCAGATTTTGTTTTGTTTCTTTTTGGCACAGCGACTCATAGTCACTCATTAATAATACAGGTCATCCACTCAGCCTTGTCTATGAATCATAGGTGTAATGTTACTGTTCCACTCTTCAGTTTGCCTCTAGTAAGAACAAGGCCACATTGCCAACTCTTAACTCTTCTCTACTCTCACAGGGAGCTGACAGTGGACAAGCCTCAGGTAAAATGCTGGAGTTCAATCATTGGTTACCCACAAGCTGTGACTCATGTCTATGTACATTCAGCTGAGGGGCTGCAGAATCAGGACCGCACAGGAGGTTAGAAGACTTTCCACAAGTTAAACTTCCTGCTATAACACTTCTGTTCAGCGTGATGAGTCTTTAATCCACCAAATCTGGTTCTCTTTCACGCAGGTGCAGACCCCTACGTGATCATATCATGTGAGGGCAAGTCAGTCAAATCCACCATCCACAAGGACACCTTAAACCCAGAGTTTGCAACTAGTGGTGTTTTCTACAGGAAAAAGCTGAGCAAGCCCATAACTGTGCAGGTAATATGCAGTCTATCTCATTAGTCCTGCTTAATGGAATTATTCTCAGTGACTGGTGGAGCAAAGGGATTTCTCACCTCTGTCCGGTTGAAACTAAGGCTCTCAGACATGTCTGCTTTTCAGAGATCAGCGTTATTTTAATCTCAAAGACTGTAAAGTTTACATTAAAGAGTTTGTAAAAGGCTTCAAGAGCATTTTAACAGTGAACAAACTTTCAGTTTACCTGAAGTCTTACACACAATTCTGCATCAAATGTAAACTAAGTGCTGTCTCTGCTCATAAAAGCCAAAACAACAACAATACATTTTTTTTACACCACTAGCCTAATCCTGCATGTGCAAATCTTAAATTCCTAATCTGTTTAATGAGTGAAAACATTTGTTTTGCCATTACATTTTAGAGTGTGGAGATAAATATATTTCAAACTGACTGTTTCTCCTCAGGTGTGGAACAGCAACGCAGTGAAGGATGAATTTATGGGCCAAGTCGTGTTGTCCGGGTCAGTGAACGACCCCACCGAACCTCAGAGGCTTCAGCTCACAGATCAAGGACGGCAGATGCCCGGCACCATCGGCCTAAGGATCGTCACCTCGGTTCAGCTGACTGCCATATGACCGGAGAGAGGGCTGAATACTTTCTCAGCTTTGACTTATTTGACAAGCATCAAAACCAGCAGTGGGATGCATTTGTATGAAGGTGAATTTATGTGAGCAGGGAATTATGGGACAAACTGAAAATCTCTCCCTTTTCGTTACTTTTGATCTTTTTTTTTTAAATTCATGCTTTTATAATTTATATATAAAGTTTTTATTTTGATGTGTTTGTAACCCCGATTATTCTGATACGACACTGTGAGAAACATGGCAGTATTTGTCCTTCAGGCCTCACAGTTACCAAGATCGCGGCCTGTACAGTCGCCTTTTTGCAGAGTAACGTGTTACATGCTACACCTGGTGTTACACGTATGCATTCCTCTTCCGTTTCTTTCCTCCAGCAGTTTACAATCACGGTTTGTTCTCATGAGTACTAAGAAAATCCTCAATGGAACAAAAATTAAAAGAAATCCTAAGACCAAACACTGCTACGACTCTGGTTTTCTTCCTCTTTTTATTTCAGTCCAGTTCCCAAACTGCAATATTTTGTTGTTTTTTTTTCCTTCAGTTTTTTTTTTGTTTTTTGGACACTCAAGACACAGCCATGCACAATTCAAAGTTCAAAAAGTCTATTGCTTCAACCACAATTAAAAATAGTTTATCCAAAACCTCATTTCCCCTTCACTCATTTGTCCTTTTCCAAAGATGGGGGAAGGCCTGCTGAGGTATGCCAGATGGATCAGCAGTTTTACAAAGCTAGACAATAATAAGAGTAGTAGTAATAATAATCATAATAATAATAAAGATAATAATTTAAAAAGTAACATTTTTTGTCTTTGTTCCATTCTCTTGATAGACATTAATAGAGGAATTTTCACACCACGTGTACAGGTTTACACATTCAGAAGATAGGAATGTACAGGAGCAACCACAGAAAAGGGGGCACGTCGGCGGTGTCTCTCGTCCCGAAATTCACCTTTGTGCTCATAGTTCAGACCTGTACATGGGGCAGAGGCCAGATGTCCCAGGGCTGGCGAAGCTTCCTAACAGGCCACCCACACCTACCACGCGCACTCACACACGCACACACACGCACAAACACTCAGCAGTGGTATTCAGGACAGACTGTGTGGGCCCGCACACAGAGTGCTGCATTCATCGGCTCTCTGTCCAGATGAAGGAGTGTCCTATAAAGCCCAAACAGGAGAGGTGGATCCAGGAGTGCAGAGACGGCGTTTGTGTGTTTGCTTTTCTCTCTTTTTTTCTCTTCTATTTCCAGGGTGCAAAACAATTATTGATACATACCACAGAGCAACCTGAATATTGTCGTTTTAAGTTACATAGTTATGAAAAAAAAGTGGGGGTTCCCGTCGTATTTACATACATACATACATATCCTAACAATCTTAACCTATCTGAAGATGACATACAGTGTATAGTTTGTTTTACATGCATGGATTCTGTTGCATCCTCCTGTCTCACGTCACTCCTTCATCTTCTGCGCTGGACAGTGGAGGTACAATATGACTAAGCAGCTACCCTGCACCTCAAAGTCAAGGTGGACAACACGAGTGAGGCATCTTCTAGTGCAGATTGAGGTAGCCCCCTAACACACACACACTCACGCACGCACACACACATGGGGGGGGAATGCTACATGGGAAATGTCCAATGAAGGCAGCAAATACAGACACAAAATCTAAACTTCTGTACAGAGGAGTGAGTTTAAGCAAACCCAGTATGGAAGGAATGATGGCGATCAATGTGAACCTCGGCTAGGGTTTTCAGCGCTATAGGGCAAGGTACAATCGTAAAATGGCACTCCCTGCTTCCTGCTTCACTCCCTTGATAACATCCCCCTCTTTTTGATCTGACGCACACCCACAAGGTGATAAAATGTAAATATCACGGAAAGAATTTGCATAACATCCAATTAAATGAGGGGGGGGGGGAAATGAATGAATGAGCAGCATCATAAGTACAAAAAGGAAGAAGGAAGGACGGAAGGAAGGAGGGAAGGAAGGAGGGGCAGCTGGTGGTCAGTGGCTCATTGGACACAACACATGCATTTGAAGTACTTTCCCTTTATGTCGTGTTTGTCAGTTTCAATTGGATAAATATATTTTTTGTTCACAGCATTTGTTTGTTGGGTGTATTTTGACTAAGGACACTGTGATTCTTGGGGCATCCTTGGGTGTGATTGAGTGTGGCGCTGGACCTCCAACTTACTGTAGATGACCATCTTCTAGGATGAGTAAATGACAGATATCCATAATATAAACATCAAGCACACAGCTCTGGCTCTGGCATCAGTGATCATGTGTGTCTGCAACAGGAAACAGCCAAAACTTCAGGCAACCGTCGCCAACTCCAACTCTTCACCGATATGAAATGGATTAATAAAGGGTGTTTAAAGCTGGCATAGGTCATGTGAAATTATTCCTGACTTTTTCCCCTGTAGTGGCACCCCTACTACACGCATTTACAAACACACACACAGACACACAGAAAATGCAAAAATATTCCACCTTGAGATGTGACAGTCTGCAGAGGAGTAGCTATGTTTTTTCCACAGAGCCGTAGTCATGCAGGCAAAGGCTGGGTCCAGAATCACGCTCTCACATCAGCCAGTCCCTGCAGGTGCAGGTGTGGCCCGATGGTGCACCACGAAGGGAAGGACTGGAGGAGGGATAATCAAGCCTAAAGCTTGCCAGGGAAGGAAATTCAGGCTCTTCAAGTTTAGTTTTTTTGTCTCTCCTCATCGCTCTTGGAGCCTCTTCTTGAAAATGAGCACGCTTTCTTTTCAATTTTCTCATGGTTTTTTTTTTCGGTTTGGGAAGCAACCGCCTCCCAAACAGGACGTACGACACAAAGAAATGTGCACAGTTTGTATACGCGCACGCAGGCCAACACACCCACACACTCACACACACTTGTGATAGACTGCTCTACATGTACAGAGTGCTGGAGGAGTAAACGGGGAGACAAGGTCTTTTCAGCAGCATGGGCCGAGACGCTGCAAGGCCAGATGTCCATCCTACATTTGAGGCCTGGGGGTCTTTTGTCCTTGTGCTGTCACTGTAAGTCACACAAACCCCTCCTTGTGCTGTCACTGTCACGTCACCCGCCCCCCATACACCCATACACCCAAGCCCCTGGATGTGATGAAAGCACTCATCGCAGGCGGGGCTCCAGCCTCGGGTGCGGACAGAGAGCACATCCTTAGCGACTGCTGTTCTTTATGGCTTCCTTTGCAGCTACAATCAGGGGCGTCAGGCTGGATAGAGGCTTCGCCAACTTGAGGAAAGAATGCTGAAAATGCAAAAAATCATTTTTAAAAATGTACCTATGAATCCAAAGAGTGTTGCAATATCATAAAAATACAGTTATGATTATTAAAACAAGCATAAGAGTAGATTTAATATAGTACGCTTAGAATCATAGTATTCAATTCAATTCAGTTTTGTTTATATAGCGCCAAATTACAACAACAGTTGCCTCAAGGCACTTTATATTGTAAGGTAGACCCTGCAATAATACATTCAGAGGAAAAAAACCCAACAATCATATGACCCCCTATGAGCAAGCACTTCGGCGACAGTGGGAAGGAAAAACTCCCTTTTAACAGGAAGAAACCTCCAGCAGAACCAGGCTCAGGGAGGGGGAGCCATATGCTGCGACCGGTTGGGGTGAGAGAAATTATTATTATCATTATCCAAGAATCATTATCCAGTTTCCAGGGTAACTAACAAAAGTTGATAACCTAGTACATGACCTGCCTATCCAAAAAGATAATTTTGTTAAAAGAACAAGATGATGAACGCCAAAATGCAACACTTTGAGCTTCAATTGTTAGTGCTCAATTTGGTTTTGTGCAGTAGTAAGAATTATGGCTCGTTTACACCACATCACTCACATAGTTGGATATATTCGTCAAAGTGCAGCAGATGGTAGCGTGTCTACATACTGTTTATTTCTCAAGTCTCTGCTTTTACCTGGAGCAACTCCTTGGCAGAACCTCTGCGGTCCACATCCATCTCCAGACAGCGGTTGAGGAAGTCTCTGAACACAGATGATAGTCTCTCTGGATTCTGCAGCTCTGGAGTCCCGTTGGTTGCGATCAGGTAGAGCGCCTGGAAAGATGATCGCAGTCAAACATGCAAGGACCGCAGAAAAAAGACATACGAATATTTTATCTCCACGTAAACTGTAAGAACCACAGACGGCTACTGAGCCTCCGTGTTGTGGCTGTGCTTTGTCTCTTACCCTGAGTGGATTCTCATTCAGATAAGGTGGTTCTCCCTCCACCATCTCTATCGCCATGATTCCCAGAGACCAGATGTCCACTTTGGGGCCGTAAGCTTTCCGAGTCACCACCTCTGGTGCCATCCAGTAGGGCGTTCCCACCATTGTGCTGCGCTTGTTTTGCTCGGGAGTGATCTGAGCGCAGAAGCCGAAGTCGGCTGCAGGAAGTGAGAGAGAGGGAGACAGAGAGACGCAAGGGTGTTTTAACATTGAGTCGTGCATTTCTATTCTTTTTATTTGATCCCAGCAGTCTTTCATTTAACACAACGCAGTGTCTCTAAACCTGATCATACTCCTCACCAAAGCCAAAGTTTATTGAATAAAATGAATAAATGCTTACTCAGCTTCACGGATCCATCCATCCCTAAGAGGATGTTGTCACTTTTTATATCTCTATGGATAACTTGGTTGGAGTGTAGAAAGTCCAAAGCTTGCAGACACTGAAGAGAAAAAAAAACCCATTACTAACTTCACCTACGAAAGAAAGTCCGTGTTCAGGAAAAATTTAGACATAGACGGTCCTTTTCTCTAGGCTGGGTAAAATGCGTAAACTTGTCTACATGAGTCCACCTTAATATTAGGGTCATCTGGCAGTACTGCTGATCTAAACTTGGCTTCTTACCTCTCTGCAGACTGCTGCAATCTGGCCTTCGTCCATGCAGGTCTCAGTCACTACATCTGTCAGCGAGCCTCCAGCCAAATACTCCATCACCACCCAAAGCTCATCTCCTACCAGGTAACTAATAAAAGAGAAAGTGAGAAACACATATTTAATATTTCTTTGGCAAATCGAGTCTCAAGCCTTGCCCAGAAAATGAGATGACAGAGCAGTCTACGACAAGAAGCAAGAGCTAAAGCACGTTACCGCTAGCTGTGGACAAAGGGACATAAAGCAAAAGAAAAAAGGAGCCGAGTGGAACAGATGCTCGAAAGCTGCATGAGCTGAGTGCCCTTGCTGAATGCTTATACGGTTTTACAACACTAGGTGTCAGTAATGTCTTAAGATGAAATGAGACCACCATTAGAAGAAGAACAGCAAGAAAGAGGAGGAGATGAGGAAGAAAAGAAGGCTGAGAGGATTTTTCAATGTCATTAAGGTAACTATAATACACACTAGGCCAAAATCACTCTACAGTCAACTGCATCAACTTTGTTCTGATCACAGATCAGCTGCTACTGGCAAAGTTATATTTATACACTGGGTAAGTTTACTTGCAAACTTAATAACAGTAAATCCATATTAAATTGTAGTGTAATGTTTGGTTATTGGAACTAGCAACATATATGTAGTAAGCAGGTGACTGCATAGAATGTGAGGCTGGAATAAGAGGAAAAAATCTCCACTACGACTCTTCAGCTCATCAAGCTTTAACTGTGTCCAATGAAGAAATTAACAACTATAATTAATTACCATAATTAACTCATTACACCTACGGTGTAGATTTAACACAGAAGCATAAATCTTTCTACTTATTTCTGTGACTCTACAGGTGAAATCAAACCTGTCAAGGTAGTTCACTATGTTGGAGTTTTTGTTTTCCCTCATCACCAAGATCTCATTGATGATCAACTCTTTCTTGGGCTGCTGCTGCAAGTTCATCTGCTTAATGGCCACCTGAGAAAACAGACAAGATATACTGGGTGTACAATAAGTTCCCCGATGGCTCGGTAAGGAAAAAGAAACAATATACAGAATGTTAATGTTGTTAAATAAACTCCTCAAAAAATGAAAGGAACATTTCAAAAACAAAACGTCTTGCTGGATAAGGATGCCGCATCGTTTGACGGAAATGGAAATTATCAACTTAAAGACGGCTGAAATCAAAGATCCTGAAAATCAAAGTGAAACACTGATGCGGCAGGCTAATCTATTCTGCTGAACTGTCACTGCAGAAACTCAAAATGCTACTCAACAGTTTGTGTGCCCCCCACGTGCATGTATGCATGCCTGACAACACTGGGGCATACTCCTAATGAGACGAAGGTGTCCCGGGAGATCTCCCAGATCTGGACCAAGGCATCACTGAGTCTGAGGTACAACCTGGCAGCATTGAATGGGCTGAAACATAACATCCCAGAGGTGTTCAATTGGATTTAGGTCAGGCAAATGTGGAATCATTCATCTAGGTATTGCCTGCATACTCTTGCTGGGTTTTGTCGTGCACCAGGAGGCAACCAGGACCCACTGCACCAGCATAGGGTCTGACAATATAGTCTGTTTCTGATTGTTTTGGTCAGAGACATTCACGTTAGCATCCTTCTGGAGGTCATTTTGTAGATCTGGCAGTGCTCATCCTGTTCCTCCTTGCTCAAAGGAGCAGATACCGGTCCAGCTGTTAGGTTGGGGACTATCTACGGCCCTGTCCAGCTCTCCTACATCCTGGAACTGCCTATGTCCAGGAATCTCCTCCATGCTCTTAAGACTGTTAATAGCACATACTGATGTGTCATCCTGGGGGATTACCCGTGCAACCTATGAAGGGTTCAGGTATCACTTCATTCTAAATGCAACACTAGTGGGAAAAAAACGTTAGAAAAGACGAGGAGGGAAAAATGTCAGTGGCCTCCACCTGTAAAACGATTCCTGTTTTGGGGGTTGATGCTGTACTCTGATTATAAAGAGTTCCTTTACATTTTTTGAGCAGTTTACAGTCTGTTATACCTCTTGGCCGGTTGCTATATCGATGGCAGTGTACACAGTCCCGGACGCTCTGCAAAACACAAGATCAAAATGACACCAGCACTGCAAATAGTGGTGACTTTTTACATTATTCAGAGACCTTCAGGATTAAAATATGAGGTGTGACAAAGAAGCCCCGAGGGCAGACATATATAAATCAGGTTTTACTTGCATTACATCAGACTGATCTCATGTTCAGAGTCACTATCTCATGGACCTTTGCACTGTTGCATGAGCAGATGCTAACTATAGTGTGTTAATATGACCAAATTTCCCTTTTCCTTTTCTTTTGATATGGAGAGAAGTCTCAAATTAAGTTGTATTCTAATGATGTTATGAAATTGTGAATTAACATAGAGGGGAAAAAGTCCACACTTCATGCCAGAGATGTTTTTTTTCTTCTTCTTAATGAGCTAGATTTCCTAATTTAAACCTTAGCAATGACAAGCACACACACTTGCTTCCAATAGCTGCTCAAAGGAATGGTATGCAGCCAATCTGTCCTTATTAGGAAGCATAACTTGTAATACAAGAAAAAACCTCCACTGTGAATTGAGGCTTTGTTTTTCCCCCTCTGTCTCTTGCTGTCAGCTACACCTGTACAACTCTGAATAATGAGGCACATTTTAAGTCAGCCTGACAAAGAATAAATATACAATCATCTACTGTTTAAATAAAAGCTTCCTGATCCAATATGGAAAAGGTGAGCGCGTCAGAGCCGATAACAGCAACACCACTTTTATCTGTGCATATGTACAGGGAGAGTGACAGAAAGCCACAGTGTTAAAAAGAACAAAAGACAAGGAGAGATAAAGGGAGAGACACAAAATGGCAGAGCTAATCTGGCTCTTGGCCTTTTTGGGATAGAGTTTTCATTTCCTCTCTACTTATTTTTCTTCCAGTAATTCAGCCAAGTTCCCCTCTGCCTCTGCCCCCCTGAAGTGGTCACTACAGCTCCCCATCTCCTGCAGAGGCTGGCTGTTCCTGAAATTGCTCTATTTCAGTAACTGTGACGGCTGGTTGATGATCATGGAAAGACTTACCCTTGTCCTATTTTCTCGAAGCGTGTGTACTTCTTTTTGGGATCCCCCACACTCACAATACTCCCTGAGACAGAGAGAAAGCAGATATATAATGATTGTCCTGTACTGTGTGTGTCAGTGCACGCTGTCAGGAGACGCTTCATCCAAACACACACAGGCACACACACAAAAAAAAAAAGGAAATGTTTTTATGCCCTTTCATTTCAGGCAGACCCTGCACAGAGAGCTTATGTACACTCACATCTAATACACAGAGCTTTCTGGGTATTTCAGCTAAAGTTGCATTGCAGAGATGGGAGAAATCCACTATTCCATGTTCTTTTGAATTATTCTACCAAATATAGAGGTTGTGTACTAGATGTAATATATGGAAAACAGCTACTGGAAACCAAACATTCAGCCTCTCTTTTTAAATCAGTACAGCGCACAGCTCAGGCCACACACACTGACACAAATCGACACAGATACACATCAGAGCATTAGCTAGTGCCGAACACAAATGGTCACATCCTCAGAGTTGTTATAATGAATATACAGATTTTAACCTCAAAGGAGTTTATATTTTATATTTTTGTGCTTGGCAATGACATTGAATGCGACTGATTTTGGGCAAATAGATGAGGCTGTCTTTCCTAAATTTATCCACAGAAGTGTGGAGAGGGCAGAGCGTAAGAACATGGAGCTGTAACTGTACATACTGAGTCTCTCCAGAATCTCCTCGTCCGTCATTTTGGACTTTTTCTTCTGCCGGTCGGTATGGCGATACATTGTGTTGGGCGTGTTCTCCGGCTGGACCTGTGACTCCGGTGGAGTCAGCACCTCTTTCACGGGGGTGGGAGGCTTTGGTGGATCCATGACGGAGCGCGTATAGATCTGCAAGAGAAGCAAGATATCAAAGGAGTTGCAGAGGTATAACAGCGCAACAATTCTGCAAAGCGCACGATGCCAACTAACAGATTTGGTGTGTTCCGGTCGAGGGGCAATGACCGGGGGCAGTTCGTCGTCGTCGTCCTCTTCGTCTTCCTCTTCTTCCTCCTCCTCTTCCTCCTCATCCTCCTCCTCTGACACAGGCGGAGCAATCGGGGGTTCTGTTGTTGATGTTTTGGCACCCTGGAGGGTAGAGTTAGAAGTCAGTGTGGATGTATGTAGATGTATGTGCCAGTGAATGAAAGTAAGGAATGAAAAGAAAAAAGTGCAGATTCTTAAACGTATCCATTGTTTTTTCCTGTTACAGTTTTGCTTTGTTACTGCTATTTGTGAACAGTCTGTAGACCCCAAACCAGCCAACGTGCAGGATCTGATTCTTGGCCAGTTCAGGTTCAAAATGATTCTGTGCAACATACATACATAATCAGATTACTAAAGGCCAAAAGTACGCCGAGACTAATAAAGATAGCATTCAAAACTGATTTTAAGTTAGCTTGCGATTAGCATGAAGCCAAAACAATTTTCAGTGTCACTCACATGAAAGCAGCAAAAACAAATCAGGATTAATTGTCAGAAAAAAAAATGTTAATAGCAAAGGAAAGAATAAGTCAGGTGTGAGCTAAAGAGAGAAGAGTGAGGTGGCATCCAGTGCAGTTTATCAGAAGCATTTGGAGTTGTGGGGACTGGTAAGGTGTGCCATGAGAATGAATTTTTTAAGTAACAAACTGTTAAATATTTGACTGTAAGAGATAGCATACTGCAGCAGTGTGCAGCATGGTGGTGAGCTGCAGACCTACCGTTGATGTGGGAGTTACCTTTTAACAAGTGTGATTAATAAGCCCCAGACATATTTATTATGTCTAATGCTCAGCCTTTTCCCCCTCTAATCCAAAACTCTACTTGCCTTGGATCATCTTCCTCTTATGGAATGGAAACACTTCATCTATTTCAAGTCTTGTCATGCATAAATGAAGCAGTGCAGCTTAGTTCTAGTGATTAAAGGGAAAGGGTCTGGCTGAGGGAAAAGTCTCAGTCCTTCGTTCAGACATACTGGGCCTCTGACCTGCTCCAAAGTGGGCTGGGCCAAGACTGCAGTACAGGAAAGGCTGTCTGTCTAATTGTAAGCAGTTAGCCAGCAAGGGAGCCATGCGGTAATGTCTACAATGGTGATGAAGTTACAGGCAAATTACTGGATTAAATTTTCAGGAGTATGAGCTCATACATGCAGTTTGACAGTCATCACAACCCTCTGTGGCATGCGCCACTGCTCTGCTACACGATCCAGTCAAAAAAGAATTAACAGATGCTCTTTGTGGTAGATGACAAATATATCTGGAACATCAAAAACAAAAAGATCCAATCAATCCCCCGTGAAATCTCAGTGCAGAGAGTGATGATGCTTTCATAATGAAATATTGTGTGCATTTTGCATTAGCCAGATGGCATAGTCAATAGTAGGAGGTCAAATAGTTGAATTTAGCTTCAAGGCCAATGCAGAGATAAGTCATGTGGATAGTAATATGGAGGAGTTACCTTGTCAAATAATGCGCTGCAGGTTCTAAGGCTGACAGGAGGCCCAGATGACAGCAGCCGGTTCTGAATGTGAAGGTTGAAAATGGGAGGATTTACTCAAAACAAACCCACACATGTGTAAGACTATGTGAACTTTAGGAGAGGGTGGAGGGGGCAGAGGTGGACATCATGTCCGTGCATTATATCCCACAGCCAGCAAGAGGAAAGGACATGATAGAGATATACTACGTCACCTGAGGCCTGTCCATGGCACTGAAGTCCTGAACAATCTTTGTCTTTTTATTATTATTTTTTATGTTATATAACCATCATATTTGGACACTACAGTACTGACAATAACATTATCCTGAGCGGATGCATGTATGCGCCTAATGTCTGATTCTGTGATGAACCAACCTTTTCAACCAAAATGAGATCGCAGCTGAATGACACCCAGTCTAGTCAAGCACACGCACACACACAAGGCAGAGTGATGTGTCAAAAATATGTCCTTTCCACTATATTTACTTTGAAACCCGAGAGTACTGTGTTTAAGTAAACGACTAGTACTTTTCGCAGTCATGTTGCACTAGCTGGCAGCCAGGAATGTCGATGGAGTTTGTAACTGTTGTAGATACTCGAGCATAATCACTACTCGCTGCTGATAAAAATCAAAGCCTCTGGGAAACTCTTCTCTCAATTAACCATCCACAGAATGCACGTTTTGTGTGAGCGCAACCAAACTGCATGAAATATTATTCTTCTCATTTAAAAAAAAAAAAAGACCCATGCACCAACCATGCTGGATTTCAAAGTATCAGACGTTACAGTAACAACATCAATACACAAGTGATGAAAACAGCCAGTGCAATGTGAGATATAACCCACGCTCCTGTTATGAATGTAGTAACACGAACAGCGGTTTAGCGACAGGTATTTGTTGACAAACTCGTAATAAAAGGAAGCTAAGGTGAAGTGGCCTTATACCATATGACTCAACGGTTGGCTAACTGGGAGAGATTCCTAAAAAGCTACAACAAAGAAGGAAAACCCAAACATGAACCACTTAAAGCAACAATTAAGAGCCAAGAAAACTGAGGACAGGCAATGTCTCCTGAGAATGTGTCAAATTATTTTGACTGTTTCATTTCACTAATGTAATTTCTATTAACAATTTTAAAAAAAAAGCACAAAGTAATCATTGCTGCCAAAATAATAATCTCTGGGGTGTATCTAATGTCTCATAAAGGAGGACTCTGGGGATAACGTTTGGCACTTTAAATTCCTCGTGAATTTCTGCCTGACCAAATCTTGGATTTGGATGCAGCACGATGTCTGTACTGCCAAAATATGCAGCTATATATGTATGCTGAGCGAAAGTCAAGGTCAGGCAGACACCGCGGGCTCAAACTGAAGTTCAAAGAGCTCAAATGAAAATCTTAGATATAGACATTGAATAGGGTTTTTTTTTTATTATGGGTAGCAACCTCTACGTGCTAAAATATGAAACCAACATAGCAAAAGCTGCAGTTTCTCTAATCACCACTTGAGGCTGCAAAGTAAATTTGCTGCACACTTCCACATTAAAATGCTCAACATTACAGCAGAAATAATTATGTTTACAACCTGGTACAAAAAAAGAAGCTGGATTTTTGTTTACGCCCAAAGTTAGGAGTGCAGCTGCTTTGACTGACAGTTAGATGGAGACAAAGGCTGTTGTAGCAATGTGCAGTTAGTCATTTTATTAGAGATTACTTCACAGTAATTAGAGGCATCTGTATCTGTGCAGTGCACCCATTTAAACATGGTCGCTCCTGGCTGTAGACAGAGCTGCTTACAGCAAACAAAACATTAGTTTTCACATATTTTTCTGCATAAAGTGATGTTGAAATAATATGAGGTACTGTAGCTGATGAGTACTTTCTTCAATAGAGGAGTTTTTGGCAACGTTCCTGTAATTCTGTTTCCTTAAGACTTAAAATTGGCACTATGACCGATAGCTGAGTCACCTCTGCATGCTGTTGAGCACTGTGACGGTCCAAGATTGAGATGCTTTAGAATAGCCTTACTGTGCTCACTCACACAATCTTTTAGATGGACTGCCACACCCATTTGCCCTTCACAGGCATACAGCTGTATCAAGCAATAGCTTTGCATGAAGAGATCCCAGCGTAGTTTGCCCGGGGCAGCAAATCCTACTAAACAGACTCGGATTCCACTTCTTCACCCAGCGTGCAGAAAGCATAGATTACTCTGGTCAAAGTCAGGAATGAGGTCAGCACAGCGGGAGTCCTTCTAGATGCAGTTGAAGCTCCGTCTATTTCAAAATCTGGTTAAGTCGATTGGAAAAATAAACAAAGCTCAGTGGTGGCTCTCGCAGCAGCCATCGTTTCTATGCGGGAGCTGCAAGAGTGTTTGTCATGTATGCAAAAATCAGGGAATTATGCCACATAGTGAGGGCAGTAAGCCTCCAGAGGGGAACACGCACACTCTGTCCATTAGAGCGAGAAGGCTGTGTGAAGAGAACGTGCCTTAAAGTAACACGGTCTATTCTAGAAAATCCCAGAAAGAGACAGCGAGGGTGAAGTGATGAAGATTTACTGGGGTGTAGGTGGAGAGGCACATTAATACTCTGAGCATCAGGACAAAGAAATAAACCACCTAATATTGCAACTTACCTGTTAAATTATTACACTGTTCGATAAGTTATAAGAATTTATTTGCCTGCATCCATTAATCAGACATTTTTGAAAGCAATAAAATGTTGCAGAGATCGTGGCTCTGGCTATGGGTCAGAGATTTGATATACCATCGTAATAAGTCCAGGGATATGAAGAGAGCAACTGGCATAAACTCTGTTAGATTATGATTTCTAAATAAATTATTTAGTCATAGAAAACCACAAACAGTGACCAAAGAAAGTTTACAAGAACTCACCAGAGTGTTTGCTGCTATGTACCCATGTGCTGACTTGTCTGAAATGAAAAGAAGACAACATTTAAAACAACATACTGAAAATCTTTTGTATTAGATGCAGATCTTTTAGCCTTTTATATTGCTAACTGACATTTTCCATGAGTATTTAGGTGAGATTACCTCCTGAAGTGAAGCTCATGTACTTCTGGTTGTTGACGGTCTCTTTGGAGTCATAAAACTTCAAGACGTCCAACACGGCCTGCGGGTTCTTCTTCTGCTCCAGCTTGGTGATGTTCGAGGTCTGTAAGAGCCGTGCCCACTGCTCTGGGATGCCCTTTACAAAGAGACAGAGGCCACAGGTTAAAGCATCTCGAGACAAAAGGATCCATCTGTGTCTGAGAGAAACACAAAATGTTTATGTAGGCTTTTCTCACATTTTTTAACGTCATGGTATATTTGATCACTAAAGCTCAGTGATCAACAATTTGAAACACATCGATTAAATAAAAAGATCCTTAATATTCCATGTAAATAAATATTCTTTATATTGCCAGTCAACAACAAAAATTGATCAGCTTTTTATAAGAAATGAATTTTAAAAGAAAGCCGCTAGCTTTATCCTTGTATTTAATTGGTTAGTATAAAAGCATTATTGCTTTCTTTACTTGGAGCATAAAATAATCTTTTGAGACAATTTCTTCTTTTTTATCTTTAATGGGAAGTGAATATCCGTCAACAATGGCTTTCTTTCATGCCAGCTTTGTAAACTCATGCACATTTTTACTATTAAAAGCAAATCAGCTGCTGGGGGAAAAAAGGCTGGCAATAGAGGTTAAAAAAAAGAAATCATACTTGGAGGGAGATCAAGGGAAAAAAATCGAGAGCGATGTACTTTATTCTCCCTGAAAACCCTGAAACAAGTAAAAGTGGCTGCTTCAAAACTCTTAAAAGAGCTCTGTGTGTCACAGGCACATAGCTTTTAAATGAACAAGGAACTATTTGTTACTGGTACTGTGCTGCACATTTGGTAGTCAAATGGTCCCGAATATGTAATCCTTAGTGTAAGGACGTTTTTATAGGGTTGTGATGATAAGACGCAAACTTCCTACAATTATTTTTTAGAATAGGACAGACTAGACTAGACTTTGCATTAGTAGTTTATTCCCAGCACTGTCAAACTAGTCTAGGTTCAATATATGTATCTATGTTATTATGAGTGAGTGGGTGTACGAATATGTTAATATGTTGTTTTTATCGTTTACTGCATCTTTTTAATACTTTTCCCATTAACGAGAATCTCACCAAGGATGTTAACCAAATGCAAAGAGTGCAATAAAAACAACTGTTGTACACACAGGAGTCCGCATGGTCCTGTGAAAAAATAAGTACACCCTTACTGCTTCCAAAAGAACTGTTATGCAGCCAGGTGCTGCTAATAAAGTGCACTTGATGAGCTGGTTATCAGCCAGTGTGAGCACATCTATAAAAAAACACAACTTTTAGCAGTTTGCTGGTCTGGAGCATTCAAATGTGTGTTAACACAGCCCCATAATTTGGCAAATTCATCCCAAGGTCAGACCATACAAAAAATTAAGAGCTAGATCTTAGACTCTACAGGCCTCAGCATGTTAAATGTTAAAGTTTATGACAGTACAATCAGAAAAAGACTGAACAAGTATGGCTTGTTTGGAAAGGTTGCCAGGAGAAATCCTTTTCTCTTTAATAAGAACACGGCTGGATAGTTTAGGTTTACAAAGTACAAGACTTTGGGAACAATGTCCTTTGGACAAGGGAAACCAAAGTGGAGATGCCTGGCCATAATGCACAGAACCACATTTGCTAAAAAAAAATAAACATCAAAGCATAGCAGTGTAGAAGTAATGATTTGGGCTTGTTTTGTAGTCATTAATTCGACTAAAAACTTCTCTGGTATAGCAAAAAATATTCTAGAGTCAAATGTGAGGCTGTCTGACAGAAACTGGGTCATGGCACAGGACAATGATCCCAAGCACAGCAATGAATCTACAAGAGAATGGCTGAAAAATCCAAAAATAAAAAAGGTGTCGCAGTGGCCAAGTCAAAGTCTAGACTTCAACCTGAATAAAATGCTTTTGCAGAACCTTAATAGAGCTGCGTTTAATTAAATGCTCGCAAACTTCAGTAAAATGAAGGAACATAAAGGAGAGTGGGCCAAAATTCCCCCACAATGATGTGAGAGACATTCAATTACTTCACATTATTGCTATTACAGGTGGTTCCCCGAGTTATTGAATAATGTGGTGAACTTAGTTTTACCCAAGACTGTAGTTTTTACTGTTCAAAATTCACCACAGAGTAGTAAATTGTATTCATACATCTGTAAAGCTTTAAATAATTAGAATAATTACCTTTGCATTTAAAAATCTGTGCTGGAACTGCTCTACTGAATCACAAACTAGGTAATGACAAAGACAGTGTATTGTATTTCTTGCTAGTACATTAAGTCTGCATAGATTACCTAACTGCTAATAAAAGAATGAAAAGAAGCGACGCATAAAACGAAGGAGAAAAAACAATTAAACTGAGAACAAAGAGCATTAAACAGTGAATATAGAGGGCGGCTAAAATTATGTTTCACGGTATTTTATATCTAGACTTGTGTAACAGCATCAAACTGAGACTGGACCTAAAATGTAATTTACCAGGAAACACTGAAGGAATCAAGTGCAGGTTTCACTTGATGGGTTCGAGTGATTGTCATTCGGGTCACTTGTATTACCAAACCTATGTGGAGGAAATTTAATTACTAGCTGACTCTATCACTTTAGGGAAATGTGAATTTTGAAATGTGTGCCTGTAAGTTTGCTTTCAAATGAGAGGCGAATTTTAGAAGCACATCTGTCCTCATTTATATGCCTGATCATCGGGTGAAAGCGATACTCACTGTGAATTCTCCTGTTACAGCATCAAAGCCAACATGAATGGTGTGTTCGAAGTCTGAGGGTAGGGATATCTCAGGACGTTCCTTCTCTTTCTTCTTGTTTGCTAAAGGAGATTGACAAAAATCTGCTTACAAGCTCATTTTTAACATCTATTTTTTTTTCTTTACACACAGGAAACAAGCAAACCATGTGATCAAATGTGCTGCTGAGCCTGAAGGCGACATGTTGAGAAGGATACTCACTCTTGTCTCCCCCGGGGAAGATGGAGCGCAGGCGGACCTTCTTGTTTTTCTCTTCAGGAGCCATTGGAAGCGGTTTGGATGCGTGATTCACTGATGAAGAGTCTCGGGAACTACTGTTCATTCTCAAGGGGGGGGCTGGTGGTTTCTCTTCAATATCAACACTATCAGACATCTTTAGTAGCACTCACAATGCCCTGGGAAAGAGAGAAGGAGAGAGGTGTAGGAGCTCAGTGTGAAAAAGTCTATGTATAGATCAGTAAGAACTCAAACAGCAGCAGGTGATGAAAGCTACAAAAACCCTCTGCACTGATCTTAGCTTTGAATTTCACTTGCACTTAGCCCTATGCATAATACACAACAATGTTAACTTTGCTAAACTGAGGAATACAATTTTTTATACACAAAAGCATTATTTCCATTTGTAGTACATATTAGGTGTTCTGGTTCACCAAGACCTGCTGTGTAAAAGGGAGCAGGCATCAGTAACACCAATGAGTAATGACAATGAGTAAGTCAGATACAACATGAAAAGAAGGAGCTGGTGGGTTGCAAAGCGCTTTGCTGATGCACAGCACCCGTGGACAGGCTAAAATTGTAGGTCGTGTAGGCCATCGGCTCACACCCCATCTAATATGGACTGGCAGTGAGATCAGCTGATCTGCCAGGATTGTGGCTGCGCATGACTTCATGAAGAAGCTATGCCTGATTGATCTTTATTAAGGTCAGGAGCAAGCCATGGAGTTTAAGGGGCAGTTTTACAGTAGAAAAGCCACAGTAAAAAAAAAATCCACAGTGGTATTTTATATTAATATGTTCATGCAAATGGTGTGCACTTACATTTTTCTACCTCAGTGGTACTTAAATAGTGTTATAGTAACAGCTAAGCTGCCATGCAAGAAGTCCAACAGCCATCAGGAGTTTCAGTGTCTTGGTAAGCAAAACTTCGGTATGTGGAGTGATTGCGGGACCAAACCATCAGCCCTTCAAGTGATGGATAAGGTAATAATTATTAAAACTAACTGATTAATTTCTTGAGGGTTTAAGGAGTCACAATGTTTCTGGATATTTAAAATTGAGCTATTTCTATATATTACAGCTATTTCTTATATTTTGTAGCTTTGCAATCTATTGTATCATTTCATTTAGTTCAGTCTGTTACTGTCCTTATTGTCTTGGAGCAACTGTAACCATATAATTTCCTTAAGGATTCTGATTATGTTTCTGATTTTCTCCCTTGTAAAAGAGATTTGATCTCAGAAGTACTTCCTGGTTAAATATAAGTAACAGCACTAGTACACTTAATTCTTCCTATGTGGACACGGCTGATATTTTGCACGGCAGATTTAAATCTAATTTAGATTTAAAGGTAGACTCAACAACCAAGAACTGATTCTCAGAGAATCTGGCAAGAGTAAATATTTCCATCACTCATGCTCTAATCTTCCATCTACCCATTGCATCTACACATCTTAGACTCCTTGAGTGCCGCACCCTGAGGCCAAGCCCATCATGTGATGTGCAGCACAGGCATCCCAGAAAGCGGGCCATCCATGTGGGCCGCCCCCTTGCTTGAGACCTACATAAGCGAACAAAGACACGCTCTCAAGCTTTTACACAGCGAGCCTTGCCTTTGACGAATCACACACGTGCCTTCGTGGTGGCCTTTACAATTGTACTTAACCATCTCCTCCTCCACTAGGCACAGTTTGATAGATCACGCTGCACTCTTCCCTAACGTCCCAAAAGAACTGGTTTGGAATAAAAGAACTTGATTAGTGGAACGATGCGACATGATAAGAAGCCACCGTTTCATCAGATTTTGACAGTTAACAGCGTTATTACACAATACCTCTGGCTATCTCCATCTGCTGCCTCAAATTCTTGTCTTGTTGTGAAAGGGATTTGTCAGTAATGTGTCATTTCATCATAAACCTGTTTGGGCAGGACACCAGAACCACAAATCAAGGCTTCTCAAAACATGCTCATTGTTTGTTTATTTAACTGTGCAGTAACTACCTCAGAAACATGTCAGATTAAGAACAAAAACCCCCACAAAAACAACATCATCATTAACTGTTTCCCTGTTAACTGCTGATTGAATGTAAACATCCAACGGATTCAGTAAACAGATTTCATTATTCCATTTAAACATTAAACATGTTCTTCCGTTGCATAACATTACCAATATGCTTTAATGTGTAAGGAATTGAGTTTATGACTCGTAAAAAACAAACTACAAAATATGTGAAAGTTTATATTACATTAAATAAAAGCTTGGAGATTAAACATGGATCTGAGATAAAAGCTGCCAACATAATCTTTATGTCTAATTAATTAGACAGCATTTGGTATTCTCCTCTGCTAGTGACGTGATAGCTCGCACTGCGATCTTTTCAATTAGATTAACTATTCAACAACGACTGCCGGAAATTATTTGGCAAATATCAGCCCATGCACACTGCCGGCATTCAATAGCAGCCCAGCTCGCTGTAGATGAATGTAGAGTTGAAATGTTAAACATGAACATGAACAAGAACTGAAAACAAGAAGCGTTCCACCACTGGAAGATAGGGATAAAAATAATATTGCAGCATCTTCCTTTAACAGAGGTTACATCAGTTGAATCCTTGAGAAACCTTTAAATCACCCTTTCCCAAGAATGATCTGTTAAAAAAAAAAGAAAAAAAAAGTGACTCACTCCTGACAGCACGGTTAACTGAAATTAGATTTTGATCTGGCTTAGCTAGAAGGCACCGACTATTTTTGAATAACCAGTCAGCTCCAGAGACATACTATGATTTTAAAACGCCACTATGTCGTTGCTATTATTTTAATACCGCGTTTCAAAGATCTTATGAGATATATTGCTGGTGGGGGAGCACTATGCTGGCGCTTTCCATGCGAGACTCTAGACGACAACAAAAAACAGGTTTGCTTAGGTTGGAGTTTGGGCGTGTCACTGACAACAAAACCCAACAAAACTCTGCTATTTACAGAGGAAATTCACAATGTGGACACATTAAAGAAACAGGGCGTGTATACAGCACGGCTGTCCAGGCAATAAGGAAGACAAGGTTTGGTAACCTTTGTATGCAATCTGACACAATCAGCCAAATTTAGCTGAAGGATCACAGGGATTATTAAGCTTTATGGCTTAATACTGTGGCACCAGGCTTACAGCGAGTGTGGAAATACTGTTGAACTTGACATCTAAACTTTTATTTAAGCTTTTGATTTTTTTCCCCCTCATATCCTTTTCTTTGCTTCTCAATCACAGTTACTGATCGTTTCTAAATGATCCATAACCAGACCGGCTGACTGTCTGTCATCTATCCTATTAAGAGAGTTCACGGGGTATAATTTTTTATAATCGGTGAAAAAGTGCAGCACTATAAGTGATTTAGTGTCACAAAGTGGCATCCAAGCTGTCTGTCTACCTTGTCTATGGATCATTGCAAAAACACAAACATCCCTGTCCTGTTAAGACTCACACAGCTGCGACTAAAGCCTCTGTTAATCCGTTAACATCATTTTTTTTTGCTATCAGTTTTGCTTCAATTGAAGTCACACTGCTTTTACTGTCACGCACAGAAGTGGATTCAGTAACGTGCGCATTAAACAAGCGAGACCTGCCAACAGCGATGGGGCTCTAATCTGTCGAGTCAATATCTGGTCTGAAAACATGGAGGGAAGAATCGGTGGTTACAACATCAAACAACGACAGGAGAGTTTGAACTTTTCAAATATAAAACTAATGAGTTCTTGAGGTTTAGTCGGGTTAGTTGTTCCCCCTTTTCAGACATGGATTTGTAAAACTGTTGGCTTCTAATAGCCATTCTGTTATTAAACAGAGGAGTAAGGAGCCATGACGCATGCATGATGCATTGGGCTCACAATACATACAGTTACATGGACTTCTATCCAACAACTCATCCATCCGCTTATGCAATTCACAGTGGCAGGCTGCAGATGGAGCCTATCCCAGCTGTCAGAGGGCGAGAGGCTGGGTACACCCTACACAGTCCCCATCAGTGATATAAAAAAGTGTTGGTGAAACTATTTTAATAGTTACTTTGATCATCAGCATGGATGACACACAGTCACAGGAATGCATATTTATAGAAACAGCTGGAAGCAATACACTGACTTATTCCTTTTAATGTTTTGTCCAATTTCAGATTGCAGTCACTACTTATGTCTCATTAGCCTGACCCGTCACATACCTGCTGTAATGTAAAGGTTTAGTTAAAAAAAAATATGTCACTGTAATAGATGTGAAGCTTTAGAGCGAGTGGGAGAAAGCAACATATATGGATGGAGTTAGGTGGCTTTGGAGAGGTCGGTGTGTCTCTGACGACTAAAACGCACATGAGCGGGGTCGTCTGCACTCTGATGATGACAATTTACGGAACAGCTGATGAATCTGTTCAGACTTTTTCCAGCACACAATAATAAACCAATTTAAAGGAACTTCTGCGAGCAGTTTGGGCAGAGTGATGTCACAAAAGTAAAAGTGGGTTTACTGTGGCAAATTTTCAGAGGTGCACGGTCACACGTGAAGCTGACATATTGTCAGATTATTAGAAACGAGTACCTGTCTGAAAGGGCTCCTTTGCTTCATCAATACTCGTGTCCTCCTCGAGAGCACACACCACTTATATAAAAACATTGAAGTGCTCATAAATATGATAACGTTAGGAAAGAACTGTCCTCAGAAAGCAACGTGGCTGAATGATGGCTAAAAAAAAAATCCCCAAAACCCTCTTCGGGATGCTTCTGTTTATTTTAATGACAGGCAGTCGTGAGTGAGCACAACAAACAAAAACAGCAGCAGCAGCAGCATCACAGTTAGATATTACAAATCTAAATGTGGTCTCTAATGCTGTATGGCTGTTTAGCTTATCACCTTCCTGCCGGCAGTTCTGCTGAACGGCTAAAGATGGCAGATTCATGAAGGCCCAGACATTACCGATTCTTCGCTCACATAAAACACTGACCTATTTACTGTGCAGACTGACAGGCAGGCAAGCAGTCAGTAAGTACACTGTCCCTGAAACAAGCAGCTACTATTTCTGAAACACACACAGCCCAGTCTCTTATACATCAAGTGTACAAATGACTTTTACCGATACTGAATTTACTGGTACGAGGCTGAACTACACCAGCAACGGGGAAAAAGGATTGTAAGACAGAT